ACACATACAAAGTACATATACAGTATGTGTTTAAGTCATGAAGTAAACTAGCCAACCAGGGCAATTACTCTGACCAGTTGTCCCTGCCGTCCAGTCAACAATTCTTATACAGGTGGAAAAATTGCTGTCAGGATCTAACTGGTGAGCATACCACACGTCTCACCAACAACCTGACATTTAGTGATACCAGGCCACTGTCTTGGACTTAGTCCTTCTTTCTCTCCCGATGCTCCTTTTTTATGTCTCTCCCCACACCTCGGGGCACTGTCTGGTTCCTTATGAAATTGTTAGTAGCCTTAACATTAAAGACAGAAGAACCCACTTTTTTTTTTAATTCTGACTATAAAAGTGCAGTGCCTGTCTTTTTAGAAACTTTTTTTTTTTTTTTACCAGAAGGGTATTATGATAATTGCATTCATGTTTTTAGATGGTACAGAAAAATACTTTGCGTGTAGTAAAGTAATTTGTGTTGAAAATATAATAATTTGCATCATTTTTAGTTATAAAAAAAAAAAACAACAACAAAAAAAAAATCAGTGTGCATGCGCATATTTACTGTACTAATTTCCTCTAACAATCACAACCCTCTGTAAAAGTTCATCAATCTACTGGCAATACATCCTACCAAACCAAAGTAGTAGAGTTTGGTTTACATGTGAAGCAATTTAAGTAACAACAAGCCAAAGTCTCTAAGAAGGATACAAAAGAAGTTGTTTTTTGTTGTTGTCGTTTTAATTGTCAGCTGCACCCTAGGGTTCAGCCATGTAACACTTGCCACATGTAGCTCAAGGTTACATTTTCCCCTTACAGTCATGCTTAAATCGCAAGCAGACGACACAGTATATTGTAGTTGAAAGGCAGCTATGCACACAAGTCTCAGCCAATTCCATTCCTTCATTAAGTATTGACTCAGTATTGTTTTTTTTTTTTAAATCTTTTCAATGCAAGACAAATATACACGACAGAACAAGCAGCTCTATGCCTGCATACAATACCCCCAACACACACAAACACACAGATACAGTCACCCAACACTCATGGCATGAAAGACAATCTCCTTGAGAAACAAGTATTTAACGCCAAAAGCTTAAAGAAGGAAATCACATTATGAGGTGCAGGGGGAAAAAATGCAGGCAGCCATTCTGACCCTTTATGTTTGGAGGTAGGGCTGCTGGTAAGTGGACTGGGCTGTTCCTGAGAAGAGGTGGCTTCTTGCTAAAGAAAAGAATTTGTCACCCAAGCTCTTAAACTGCTAAATCTCCTTTAATACTGTACAATCAGCGGCCTGTAATGTTCACAGACTGCGTCTCTCCCCCTGCTCAGACTTCAGACTTTGATTTTACGCCTCTTTTCTCAAGAGGAAAATCAACGTGGGTTCCCATCACTGTGTGTCTTGTACTGTATGTGTGCTGATGGGGGTGGGGGGGGTTGTAAACTTTTATGCACCCCCCACACGCCCTCCTCTAGTTCCCATAGTGGTAGTGTTTGAGTTGTGACTTTGCAAAGCTTTTGATGTCTGTGCTGTTATCCGGGTGTCAACTGCATGGATGATGGTCAAGGTGGGAAAACAAAAACAATAACTTACACTCACACAGTGTGGCTGAAACGGTACCGTGGTCATCTTCAGTGGTCCAATCCCAAACATTTCCGGAATATAGTGGTACTTTCTCAACTGTGTGTAAACACACTCGTTGGTGACTTTGTATCACAGCCTTAATCCATCGTTGTGTGAATTACTAGCGTAACTATAGAAAGGTAAAGTTTAAGTCCAGCTATTTTACCATCAACATGACACAAATTCTCACAATTAGTGTAGTCATTCAGCAACGTTTGACGTGTGCTAACACCGTCCCCTTGACTATCTTCCAACTCTGAGCTCATGAGTTACCTAACTATGGAAATCTTTGTATATGTACTTGCATTTTGATGATACATTTGCAGAACTTCAGAAGAGTATTAAATAAGTTTGGTTTTTGATCAATATTTGAAGCTGCCGTTGCGTCCAGCTGTTGATTGGTTCATGTTTGCACACAATAGGAAAATCGTTGAACACATTCAAGAGTTACAATGGAATGATCTTGATTAAATCTTATTCCTGTCAGGTTCTGACATTAAGAGTGAGTGCATATGGAGAGGCTTATCGTTGTGCCATTTTCATAGGTTAAAGTGGGCATCAGTACATATGTCGACATAATGTTGCTGATTGAGCGCAATTTTTGGACATTATATGCAGTGCACATTCAGTGATTGAGACAAATTGTGTCCGGTTTCTCCACTGACGTCACACCAAGCTCAGGTGGGGCGTTGGTTGGTATGTCCATATTGTTTCAAGAGTCGTTATTTTCTGATTTCTCCAAAACAAATTGGAAAATAAATGGAAATGCAGGCAAATTTCATTTTCCTGATCAAAAAATTACATAAGAGAATTTTTGACTGGAAAATGGGCCATCCTGGCCGCATAATCCCTTTAACCAATAAGAATCAAACATTTCTTTTGAATTTTGGTTCATGTTTTTAAACTAACTCAAACAGGCCTAGACAAAAGTGGTAGTACCTCTACAGAAGATTGAAAATGGTGAATTTGAGACAATACACTCGTAATGCAAAAACGTAAAAACTAATGTTCGTACGCGTCCATTGCAACTGAGAGTAATAAAAAAATAAAGCAATGTACATTCCAAATGATCTTCCAGCTGTTGGTTGAAGAGCTTAATTTTCTTTTCTCTGAATCTGTTTAGCTCATAATGAAGTTATGTCTACTATTTGAATGCAAGGTCTTCTGGCCCTGCCTAAAGGTGAAACCTTTATTACAACAAGCACGTATCAACTCGCAGGTAAAGGCCATGCTTGAAATCGAAACTAGAGCCCTGAGAATGAGCTGGGGGTGGAAAAACGTGACCCAAGCACTGGTTTTCAATTCTTACCAAGACAATTATAGATCATGCCAGAATCTTGTTAAATGACTCCTGTCAACCAATTGTGCATACATGGCAATTTTCCGCGGATCCGCGGAAATCCGCCGTTTTATTTCTTAAATTGATCATTTTTGTGAATCGTCTAAATCCGTTGAGAAAATTTTAGGGGCGGTCAGGTACCTTATCGTCGAGTTTTCACGAGCTCTCCCGAACAGTCTCTCCGTTTTCCGTTTGTAAACAGCCCTGCGATTGGACGTGTATGAAAGCTTCAACTAATCAGATCACTGAAGGCATTATTTGTTGCGGAAGTC